ACTAAGAGATACTATCAGTAGCAAAGAGAAGGTATATCATATGCTACCAGACTGTGCAATGACTAGTGAAAATTCACACTACTTGCAACTGTTCCTCTTATGTTTGCTGTGTAAATTTATTAAATGTACATGTACACCACATTGCATGCGTATTTGCTGTTCAGTTATGCACATAAGTAAAATGATCTTTCTTTGTACATTATAGGTAACAATTACTTTAAAACAAGAAATATCAACAATGACTGTACCTGAGGTTAGCTATTATTGCACTGTCATCATGTAAACAAATAATTATTGATGACTCTTAACACATTTTTATCACATATTTTATTTTAATATGAATTTTATAATTATTAGGAAGAATTATTATTGTCTGTTCATAGTGATACTGAATCAATTAAAGAAGTTGAGGTATATCTCACTAGTTTGTATTAATTATAATAATTATTAATAGGAAGAACCACTTTATGAAGAGTTGACTGCATTGAGGTCTCAGTTTAATGAGATAAATGAAGAAAGCAAAAAATTGTCTGACAAATTATTAAAAATGAAGATTGAGTATATGAGATCACTTACTAGTAATCCTGATTCAGGTTAGAGTAGCTTTATTAATTATACTAATAATCATATAATTAATTAATTAAAGCTGCCTGCAGAGTGAGAAGAGGAATGACTTTTGAAATTGATGACTGCAAATTTCATCTTAAAGCAATGACAAGTCCAGACTATCAGCCATTAGTGGATAATAAAAGAATAATAGAGAAATTACAAGAAAGAATAACATTAATGAATATGGAACTAATTACTGAAAGAGAACACAAGGAGAAGATTTTAAAAAATATTAAAGGTTTTATTGATGATGTGTGTCATCATTTGATTGTTGATATTTGAATAGATCATTTGAAAGAGATTGAGGATAAGAGACAGAAAGGAAAGGAAGGTAAGGAACACGAAATTAAAGAAATGCTTATAAGAAGTTTTATTGATAATGTGTGTGTCATCATTTGATTGTTTATAGATTTGAAAGAGTTTGAGGAAAAGAGACAAAAAGAAAAGAAACAAAAAACTGAAGAAAAACCATATGAAGTAAGATCATACAAAGTATATACATGTACTATCTACTTAGTTTTATTTTATAGATTGATTTATATTGTAATCATTCTGTTACTGGTGAATTAGTGAGGAAAATACTTAAAGTTCATAAAAATGAACTACTACCCAGTGTACTGGATAAAGCTTATGAGGTTTATTATCTTTAGTTCAATATCTACTTATTCTTCCATTTTTGTTTATTTCTTTTCTCCTTATCAGTTAATGGAATTAGCTCCTCATATTCCTATTGAGAGATGTCGTTTAGTTCAGTACAATTATGTTGATAAAGTAATGGATCAGTCCTTTGATCTTGATGAAGTGAGTTTTATTGATCATAATAACAATAATTATTATATTTAATTTAGTTTCAGCATCAAACTATCAGGCAGCTAGTTCTAGGTGGAGCTGGAGGTTATTATTCTTTTGCATTATTCTTAGAAACTTGTAAACAAAATGAAACCTTCAAAAAGTACATCTACAAGGGCATCGGTAGGTGTGGTTGCCAGTGACATGACTATTAATTGAAAATACATGTACACAATGTACATGTGTTTGATGGTATAGATATTAATCTAAATATATCAGTGGTTGATCTGTCAACTGGTGAAGTAGGACCAGCTAAACCAATGAAAGGTTATGATGGTTGGACTGTTGTAGAATTAAAACAACATATAGGAGAAGTAAGAGGAAGGATATTGTTCTCATTCCTCCATTGATCCAGTACATTTCTTTCTGTAGTTATTTAATATTGACTCATCATGTATGAGATTAGTAGTAATGAAGGAGGGTACTACTTCAATCCATGAGCTTAGAGATGGACACACTTCTAAACTTGATGGAGTAAAAAAAGTTAGTTCACTTGCACAGCTTAGACACATGCAGTCATACTGTTATGAATTTCATATTTGTGATTTTGATTTAATGCCAGCATTGATTTTAGCTAGGCAATTTCTACATAAGACTCTGCCAATATTTCATATGGTAGCTATATAATCATGAATACATCATATTTTTCCCTTTTATTTATCTTTTAATTTTCTTTTCCTTACAAATAAACACACACACACCCACTCAGTTATATGTATCATCAGATCCTAAAGATTATAAAAAAGAATTTAAAGATAGTTTGATGTACAGATATGTTGAGTTTCACATCAACTCAATACTACTGGACATTACATTACCTCCTGGACCTGAAGCCACACCCACTACAAGTAACGTAACTAAACGAGGAATAATAATGAAAATTATATCAATAATTAAAGAAAGTGATAAAGAAAAAAGAAGTAAATATTTATTTAAGTAACTTTAGTTTATAATATTAATACAGTACTGGTACAAGTTAGTAAAAGAACCACATTAGCTCAATTAAAAGAGGCACTAGTTCCACTGGTTGGTGTACAACCTACTGGTTTTATAGTGTGTGGCTATAAAACCAAATTTGGAAGTATACCCAGCAGTGATCATGAAGAATATGAAATGGAAGAACTGGATGAGACATTTAAGGATGGATCAAAGGTACATGTACATACATGTAGTTTATTGTGTTATTTGATTCACCTCTCCTTTCCATTATACACTACTATAAGTACTAATAACACACACACACTCATCTCTTTATTACTTTGTGTATCTACTAGTTGATAGTAAGACTGGGTAGAGCATTAAGAAGAGGAGAGAAAAGAATTAAATTATATTTATTACAAATTAACAACACAGAGGTAAGAATTAACATTAATGGGCAAACTCCTTACTGCATGGTAAACTACCGTATAGCGAGAAGTTTTCGTGGATTCATTTAAAAATCAATTTCGTGGCTTTAATTTTTGTAGTTTTCTACTTTTTGGCCATCTTAAATTGTATTAAATTGATTTTTGCAGATTTTATTTTCGTGAATTTTGAAAAAATGCAAAATCCACGAAATTTTGGGCTATGAAAATTTTCCTGCTATGCAGTAGTTTTGTTTGTTTGTCTGTACTCATACATCTGGGCGTGGCAAGGGGTAGAGCCTGTTAATGATAATAATAATAATAATAATAGTAATAATAATAATAATAATAATAATATTTTCACATTCTTTTAATAATTTCATTTATTTTTAGTTTTGTAAGTTTATGATGGATACTGGTTATGCCAAGGATACACCAGTGAGAGAATTTAAGAAACAAATTATTGAAGAAGCAAAAGTACTAGGAATTGACTGTGTCCTTGAATTAGACAAGTAAGTACATCGTGTGACTATCGTACGGTTGGTAATATTCGAGGGTCCAAAATTTCATGTTTTCTCCAAAATGTCCTTAGAAGCTAATATTCGTGGGTACAAATATTCGTGGGTGTAGTTAGCAAACTTCTTTTCACTTGGATCTACTGGACTAACTTCCAACACATGGCTTATGATGGAATATGGAGTAACAGACAAGAACTCTGGCTCCTCCACTGGCTTGAAAATAGTAGTTAGAGCTCTGCATGACCCGTTAATTAGCTTTTATGTGTGGGTGGGTTGGGGTAAAATTTCGTGGATAAAAATAAACCACGAAATTAACGAAAATTAATACCCCACGAAATTTACCAACCGTACGATATCATGTGACTATCATGTGACTTATTGTGTAGAATGAGATTATGGGAAAAGAATGGAGTGTTCCTTGGTACACTATATCTTGATCATGACTGGATTGGTGAGGCTTGGATTGGTGGTACTACACGTAGGATTGATGATACTAATAGGGAAATACATGTATATGTGGAACCATTGAAAGGTCAGTATATTTCAGTATTTTCAGTTTAAACAAATGATGTATTTTATAGAAGTTTAATGTTAGTATGTTTATTTTCATTAGGACCAGAGAAGAAGATGCTGCGTTATAAGCAAGTACAGGTGTATGTTATAAGATGGCGTCCATCACAATGTTCAGTTGATTCAATAGAAGAAATTATACTGGATGATGGATATGATCATGAGCATGTTATTGAAAAGGTATACGTACATGATTAAATTAAAATTTATAATTTATTGTATTGCTTGTGCTGGTGGTGTGTTTAAAGGTTAGCAGTTCATTTCCTCTACCAATAAAGTTATTACAGAAATAATTTTTAAACTAGAAGTAATGTAGAACATTAAGGGGCGAGCCTAAGCTAGCAAAGCAATCATAGTACTGGATCTATCTATCTATCTATGATCTACTCCTGATGATTTCAAAGCATGCATCATGATTTAGCATGCATGCTTGCTATGCAGCAAGCATGCATGTACATGATGAAAGCTAAAGATTATAAAATCACTTTAGATCATTTATTTTATTTAACTTTTAGTCTTCTAGTTTAACATACACATTTCTTGCCTAAAAATGTCTGTAAAGATGCTTTACTTAGCTTTAGATATAATATTATCCAATGTTAAGATGACTGAGAAAAAGCTTGATTGACTTTCACAGTTTTAATAGCAATTGCATCAATTAAGACGAGCTTCATAGGTTATTAATTGAATTTAAAACCTTCTATAGCTGCTGGAGAAGTCTTTGGACGGTGTATCTGCCTTATATTGCTGCTAGAAAGCTCATGAATTCTTCCAGTGTGTTGGTTGCCATTTTTATTTTACTGTGACCGCTCCCACTTTCAATGAAAAATTGAAAATTGACTTTATATTGCATTGGTAATGCATAGTATCTATCTACCGTATTAGATCTACGCATAAATAGGGGTGACGTACGAGGACATACAGACAGACAGACGGGGCGTGACTGAGAGTCTAGCTAGAGTGGGGCGAGCTCAGGCTCGCCCCAATAATGTTATATGCCAGACTGATAGCAATTACCGTAGATCAGGAAATTAGTGTGGTAGAAAATTTTTGCTGCTTAAAATTGTGCTATGACTTAATTTTTACTAAATAAGACTGTGTCATGTATTATTGAATTATATGGGTAATCTAATTTTTGCGAAATTCTAATCCAGTAAAATTTAAATCACAGTAAAAATTTCCAGATAGACGGTATTCCATAATACAGCTGTATGCAAAAATTTAGAAAATTTAGAATTTTTAAAAATTGGTTTTATAAATTTTTTTGTAGCTGTACAGTGAAGCCTTTTAATTCTAAGGGTAAGATCAGTTGTAGGGGGCAAAGGCAGGGGTGGATCTAGGATTGAAATTCTGGGGGGCCTTAATGATATGGGTGGGGTAATTAGTGGGTGTGGCCAACCAGTCTTGCAGGATTTTATTTGGGAAGTCAAAATTTTGAAGATTAGGCCTCATAAATGAGTTTCTTTGTGGTTTACAGATTGTTTACACAGTCAAGTACTGCAGCTGTTTCACAGTTTACATAAATAAAACTAATTTTATCCTTGACCAGAAAAATTTTTTGGGGGGGCCTGGCCCCCCAGGCCCCCCCTAGATCCACCCCTGGGCAAAGGTCACCCCCTCCTTTATGTTTACTCCTGCCATAACTGATGTTAATTTTGAGAATGTGATGATTTTATAGTTAATTGCCGTCAAAGTAAAATTTATCATTTGCATAATTATGTGCATCCACCAAAAATTAAAACCCAAATTTCTATTTAAACAATAATTATAAACATACTATATGGCACAAAATTTATGAGGGCTGTAAATTTTGCAAATTTGCCTAAAAATTTATTTGCAGATTTAATTTTTGTGAATTTATACCATCTGCCATCTTGTGCCCTAATAATTTGATTTTTGCAAATCTTTAAAAAATTGCAAAATTTGTGAAAGTTACAACCCTTGAAAAAATTTTGCGCTACATGGTATAACATTGAGAATTTACACGTGTACTTTGACTTTAAGAGAGTGTTATTATTACATGTATTATTTTGTTTTACAGCTGTCAGAGTTAAGTGGAGTTCCTGCTGAGTATATCTATTATTCAGAGGTTAGTCATTGACATAATAAACATTATTTAAGATACTCTCTCACTCTTATAGCATAAAAAGTTTCCAGTTGAGATATCATGTCTTGATATTGAGAATAAGTTTGAATGGTATTCCATCAGTTCATACAGATTCTCATTTGAACTATATGATGATGGATATGTCCTATATTACAAGTACTACTGAACACACACACACATTATGTATACACACACACTTACATACACCTCTTACTGTTTATAATTATTTAGAGACAATAGAGAGACAATGAAAGAGTTAACATATGAAGAGAGATATGAAATACGAAGGGCAGAGAAAGCAAGGTCAGTAAACCTCATGTATCATCATGTACATGTACTATCAGTTAATGTGTACATATTTACATTACCGTATAATTATTATAGTTTGATGTAAGTATTGGCTTGTTAATTAAACCATTTCTCTTTTATTCATTTTCACTAAACAAAATTATTGATTACAAATCTTGTGATCAACTTTCATAGAGTTTAATTACAAACTTAAGATTAATGTACTCATTTTATTGTATTCTAGGTTAAACAGGATAAAGGAAATTAAAGCACTGTACAGCATAGACTAAGATATTGATTATGACTGAGTTTTAGGTGTCATTATTTTTCATTTTTGTATTGCAATCCCACCAAATTTACTCAACAACATGTTATAAGAGTTGGTTACATGCATGTACAGTAAATACACTTTATTCAATTTTGTGTAATTTTTCTAGCAATCTAATTTTTATAAAGTAGCTGTCATTCTTATATTATATTACAAAAGAAATACATTAATTAATTGTAGGAATAGTGAGTCAAAAGAGAGACAGAGAGGGAGAGGGTAAGAGATTGAATTTCACTCATAAATAGATAATTATTAATACAAACACACAAAGACCATACATCATCAGTTCTTTCATAATTCAAACAGTTCATCCTCCACCTTCTCCCTCACTTCAGTGTCTCGAGTTGGTGACCATTTATATGTCTTGGCAAACACTCTTTTGAATTTATCACTATCAGTGTAAAAAAGAACAAAATAAAAAATATAGTATTTATCCTGCCTTCTGGCTCACTTCCTACTCTGACCTCAAACCTCAATATAACAACCATGCAGTCATTATTATAGTCATTTACCATGTACATATATGTATTTGCACAAGACATCTATAAATAGTGATTATGCAGACAAAATGGCTGACAGAAACTTGAACCACATGCAGCTAGTCATTGCTAATAATACATGTATACAAACCAGGCCTAGCTGTCAAAGCTTTGGATATCATTTTGCTGACATAATCACAAAATTATATATTGAGCCTATCTCATTCCTTTATTTACTATTAAGTATTAATTGCCATAGATATTAGAGTAAATGAAAATCAAGTAAAATCAAGAAGCCTGATGTTTCCTCTCAACACTACTGTTATCTATTGTGCAAAAAATGTTATAGTTTTCACGATACAGCCCATTTTTCCTCTTAAAATGCCATTTATTCCATTATTCTCCCTTTTCTCAAAACATGCTAAAGTAAAACTGGAAATCATTATAATCATATGAAAGGCCTTACACTTTCCAAAGTAATTATACAGGTTAGAGTCAGAATCTATGAAGTATGAGTTTGTTACAAGAGCTAAAGTGTACCGAAAATAGCCTCGGTTGATTTTGTTGTACCTATAGGCTATAACTGATTGCAACATAGCTTTACAGAGACAAAAAACTTGCTGTGGGTAGCTCTAAAAATTATATGTGCAATAGGCTATAAATCACAAGCAAGCGCTATCCTGGAGCAACACAAGTTTTCTTTAAAATCCTTCCAGAGCAACTTCACCAACGGAGGAGATGGCAAAACACTGATGGTTGTCACGTGGTAACCCAACTAGCATAATAGCATTTCCTGTTGCTACGCCCCCGTTTCCAATCCCTTTCATTTACTCTATTATCTATGTAATTGCTATCTCTATCTATCTCAACCCTCTCTCTCTCTCTCCTCACTGCCTTGTCATCATTACCTAAATGAGTCATCATCTTCAATGTCACTGGATCTGTCAGTCACTCTCTCTGTTGTAAGCATCAGGTGGCAGTGCAATAGATTGGCTGGAGAAGGAAGGAAGTTTTATTAATAACAAGTACATGTGCATGTACATGTACATTGTACTTGTGTATAAGGTCTTAAAATTGACACTATA